CCTTACACTCTCACTTACTTTATTTACATAAATAAGACTTCAATAAGGACTTTCCACAATAAGCTCATATTCATTAAAGCAGACCAACTGTTAAATCATGTTTTTCACTATTGTTAAATGATATCTTAATTTCTCTAAGAAAAATCTTTAGTTATATCCAAAAAATCACAAGTCAATCAAGTATTAGCACCAATATCTGTTCATGGAAATAAGTATTTTCATAAACTTATTTATGTTATATCCTAACAACCAGTGTTATGTTGACTCCTGTTGAAAATATTGATTTATATTTAAGATTTTTAATTGAGGCAATGGATTTCTTTTGGTCACTGGTAAAGAAAAAGATCTTGTTCAAAAAATACCATAGTCTAGCTTATTTCACAAATTCAGATCTGTCACAAGCAAATCATATTAATTACTTTCAACAATAAATGTCTTACCTATATGATTAACCTATAAGAACTCCTGTACCTCCAAACCAGCATTAAAAGACACGTCAATATATTTAAGTAGATTTCTGAACAGTATCTCAATCTTTCAATTATCACTTTAAATTATACTTTAAGATTTCAAAGAAGATATAGATTATGATTTTCACAAATTACTTCACTTATATATCCCATTATATTTCACTTTGACTTTTAAAATCCTAAGATTATCTACCATTAATAGATAATATCACAGGCATAAATATCTATCATGAATTCAGTTATCTTCATTTTTCTACAATCAAGACTGCCAGTTCTGGTTAGAATAAGAAAGTGAGTTGATTTCTTATATCATATACAGCCAAAAAAATTTTTTTTAGTTTTTTTGAAACAACTATTAACAGAGGCATTCCTTTGCTACCTTTAAATAGGAAATGTGATGCACAGATGTTGAACTATTTGCAACATATAGTCTATTTGGCCTGCAATGATTTTTTTTTTTTTATTAAGCTGACACACAAAAATGCAGATCTGAAAAGCCACCTGAAGCTGCATGTCTCCTGCCCTTCTGGATGAGTCGTGCCCTCTCCACTCCTCCACAGCTCCCACCACTTCCCAGAGGCCCAGTTCACTTGTCATCATCTGCCACTAGGTGCATTTGAGCATTTCAGTCAGTGACCACTGTTCTAGACAGACGGTTATCCACCCTGTGGTTGAACATGTCCAGGAAAGGAGATGGAACTTTGCAAGCTAACCAATTTCACTGTAGGCAACTCTAAACATTAAAGAGATATGTCAAGAAAAATTTCCAGATACAAACTAATTCTATCCTTAGAAACAAAGTCTACTCTCTCTTTCATAGGAAAGCCTTCTAGCTATCTAAAGGCAGCTAACCTTCCCAGGCCTTCAGTTCTAGTTTTATATCCCCAAAGACTCCAAATAGTCCTCATAAAATATTTTCAAGACCATCCATGGCCTTTGGCATGCTTCTCTGCATGGATCAATTCTTCCTTTTACTACCTTATTTTTTTACCTATTTTTTATGTATTAATTTATTATATATTCTAGTTATCAGTGTTCTTCATATTTTCTTGATCTAGATCAGTGGTTCTCAAACTTTTTGGTCTCAGGACCCCTTATATTTTTAAAATTCATTGAGGATCCCAATGAGCTTTTGTTTAAGATTTATATCTAGTGATATTCACTGTATTAAAAATTAAATTTAAATTTAAAAAGTTTATTAACTCATGTAAAAATACATGTTAATAGCATATGTCTATGAAAAATAAATATTCCAAAACAACATAAATTACTAAGAGCAGTAGCATTATTTTACTTTTTTTGCAAGTCTTTTTAATGTCTAGCTTAATAGAAGACAGCTGGATACCTGTAACTTTTTCTGCATTCAGTCTGTTGCAATATCACAAATAGGTAGCCTCTGGAAAACTCAGGTAGAATGAGAGTAAAAAATTTAAAGAATATCTTAGTATTATTATAACAATAGCTTTGACCTAATGGACCTCTGAAAGGATCTCTGAGACTCTGCAGGGGTCCCTAGCCCATAACTGGGTGCCACTTGGATGCTTTAATTAATGTAGGTTCCAGGTAGTTTTTTATAGCATCCATGACATTCTTTTTACCTATCTTGAGCTTGTGGTCAACTAAAATTACCAGCTCATTCTCAAACAAACTGCTATTATGTCAAACCTTCCCCTCTTCATCCAGACACATAATTTATACATGTACTTCCCCACAGATCCCATTTTGTTGGTTTCAGTTTATGCTTTGCTAGTGGACACTGTTGGTGCCCCACCGAGGTCCCCTTAAGGCCAGTGTACCTGTCCCCACTTAGCTGTCATGACTGTTGGCTGACAACGCACAGCAGCCCCTGTCTGAAGAATTACTTACTAACGCTGGAACCACCTTGCTTGGGAAGCTATGTTCACCTCTACTTTATCCAGTGACTGACTGACAAGCCAATGACTGTCATGGAGGACAAGAGGCCTGCACCAGTGACACAAAGTGGAACTAATAATTCTAGGTATAGCTTGTGCTTCATAGCCTCCCATGGAATCAGACTAACGTTAGTTTCCAGCTGAAACTATATTCTTCCTTACCTTTTATCCCTCGTTCCATCTGGCTTCTGTCATTCCCTTTCTTCTAAGAGTGTATCCCAAATAAATCACTTGAACAGGAATCTCCATCACAGGCTCTGCTTCTGATGAACCCTAAGACATCTTTCACTACATGAAGATTGCTGCAATACCAACTCTGTCATATATCATATTAACTAATCTCAAATATGTACACCATCTCAAATATGCTAAGAGTTCTATTATAAATAGTGCAGTGGTTCTCAAAGTATGGGACCTGGGCCAGCAGTATTAATATCACCAGGGAACTTGTTAAAACTGTAAATTCTCAGGCCACACTCCAGACCTATTGGATCAAAGCCTCCATCACAGAGATGTGCCAAAATTAATCAAACTGTTCCTCTTGACATTTCAGTTGTTTCCATTTTTCCTATTATAAACATGATGAAATGAATGTACATAAAGGTAAATCTCTGTCTACTTTTCTGATTACAACTTACCCTGGAACAACACAGGAGTTAGGGGTGTCAACCTCCCATGCAGTCAAAACTCCATGTATAACTTTTGACTTCCCAAAAATTTAACTACTAATAGCCTACTGTTGACCAGAAGCCTTGCCGATAACATAGTCGACAAACACACATTTTGTATGTTATATGTATTACATACTGTATTATTCAATAAAGCTAAAGAAAACAACTTTTTTAAACCATCACATATCTTCAAAAAAGTGTCCAATATATTTATTCAAAGTGGACTCATGCAGTTCAGACCCACTCTTCCAAGTGTCGACTGTAGTTTATGAGCATTTGTCTGCAGTTTACTTTGATGTAAAAGTATTGCATCAAAAATAAGATGTACTGATAGCTTAAGAGAGACAGATACATAATAAGGTAAGCACAGCAAAATGTTAATGGTAGAATCTAGGTGATAAGTATGTTGATGTTCACTGCAAAAGTCTTTCAACTTTTTCATGTTTGAGATGTGTTTGAAAATGCTGAAAATGAAAAATATTGGAGGAATTTTCATTTTATGAGACTAAATTCTTAGAACTGGAATAGACTGTTCAGAGTATGTGCCCATCTTTAAATTTTGTGAAGTTAAAACATCAACCAGAAAGTGTCAATTCTCTCACTCTGTCAACACCACTTTTTAGTACTTTTCAAAACTCTGCCAAATTGTTTGGCAAAACTGGTAATCCATCTTTTAAATCATCACTTCATGTGCATTTTTTAAGTTAATATAATGAATTGAAAAGCTTCCTAATATGCTCGGCTTCAATTCAATATTGGTTATTCAAACCATGAAGCAGTAATCAAGATTTGATCACCCACCAGGGGACACTTGGCTATTACTAAGCACAATGCCCTCAAGAATAAGTTGCAAACAAAATGATATTGAGGAGAGTTACTTGCAGGCTAGCATCATAAATAGGCAGAGGGTGGGGGGCTAATGCCAATTGCCAAATGGGCCTGATTTAATAGGTCTCAAGAAAGGGCTCTTCCTTCACAAAAGAAAGTGTCTCCTCCCATTTCACAACGATGCTCAGAATTCTAAGCATTAGTGATCTGTTCCTTTGTGCTGAAGCAATTAGATCCCCACCAACTCTATGTAAAATTCAAGTATTTTAATTCAGAATGAACTCCACATAATTATGGTAAATCCATAGGCTGGATGGAATACAATAGAGCCATTCATTCTACATTTACTGACATGGAAAGATGTCCATGATATACTTGTTCACTGAGAAAAAGCAAGTATGTATGTGTGTGTATGAGAAGTATGTGGGAGAATATTTACTAAAATATTAACAGTGGATACCTCCAGTTGAAGGATGTATAAGAGTTTTTTACTCTTTATATTTTTCTCTATTGTTCATTCTTACAATGGAAACATAAGAATTTCTGTATTAATAACAAATACAAGAAGGCCACTTGCATTTTGATAAAAAGAAAACTGAAAATATCCCAGAAAATCTCTAAGCCATTTAGCATCTTATTAAAATTTAATTTAGCAAGATTATCAAGTCAAGATTTTAAAGTCCCTAAGGAATGAGACCAATCCAGCATATTTTAAAGGGCACAGGAGAAAAGAGTTAAAAGCAGACGAGACAAAGAGGCCTCCAGTCATACTTTCAGCAGCCAAGGGTTAGGCCTGTATTTCATGCAGGGATTTCACTGGAGAAACTCAGTAGGCAACAGAACGCATCTGTGGTCTTCAGATCCAAGAGAAACCAAAAGGATGAAGTCTCACTACAATCTGTGCAGACTCAGAGTGGATCTTAACTTTACCACCATTCCTGCTTTCAATAATATAGAAGAAAATACCTCCTGGCAAGGAATGTTCACTTCTCTCCCTACAGCAGGCCCGGGTTGGGAGGGCAGTTACTTTTTAAAAAGAGATACTTAACATGTTCAAATTTTTTGATTTTCACTTCACAAAGACAGAAAAGGAGAATATGACACATTAAACCACTCACCTCCGTAGGAAGATATGTCTGTACATGGGCGTGTCCTGGATGGGATGACACAGTCCCAGTTTTCATTTGAAAATGCATTTTGCACATGTAGCCATCAGAACAGTCCTGCATTCCATCACCAAAGAATACATATGAAAATGCCAATTATTTTAAGAATTTATCATTGTAAGTAAGAACTATAACTTCTCATTAGGTTTCAAACCAAGCAATGAAAAATTAAACATATTAAATGATATGAGATAACATGCATAAAGAAACTCATCTAATACCCCCTGCACATAGTAGGTACTCAGTAAGCAGAAGTTTTAATCCCATATTTTTATCACTTATTAATGATGTCTCCCCTTCTCTTAGATTAAATCTCCTCCCTAACCCCTTTTTTTCCAAGCAGTAAATAGCACAAAAGTCACAAAGCAAAGCTTTAGGTTGGCAGCTGTTAAAAAGCATCTAAATTTATAGAAATATCTTGTCACATAATTAATACTGATTTCTTAGCATATATAAAAGAAAAATGTTAGGAAGACTTGCAGTAGATCTTGAAACAAGAAGGGGCCTTGCATTTCAATTTCTTTTTCAAGGCAAAATCTCTATTTAAATATCTCAGGGACATAATTATTCAGCACCTGCTGGAGCACTTCCAGAAACCTGCACTTAACTCCCTTACATGACCACCACCTCCATTTTGGAACATGGTATGTTGTCCATTGAGAAAGTGCTGTCTTCAAATGTTGGCACTGAAATGTTTCCCTTCAACTTTAACTCTCTGCTTCTAGTTTTGCTCTCTGGAGTCTAAACTCTTTTCCACAGAGCCATTCTTCAAAGAGCTGAAAACAAATACTACTATTTTCAAATGTTCCTTGGAAGATATGATCTCCAAGCCCTTCACCAGTTGCATTTCTCTCCTGTTTCTTATACTTGCTCTTAATTACACTAGTGGATGATGTTCATCTAATTGTGCCAGTTCCATTTTTTTCTGAAACAAAACTTGTTTGAATTTAATACAGTAGTAGTGTGTAATACCTCCTCATGCACAGACATACTTAACTACCAATGAATATTAATTCTCCATCAAATTGTCACACTAACATTCACAATTTTAACATAATTAAAGTATTATAATTAACAAAGATTTAGATTGGGTATTTAATCTGATGCAGTAAAAAAATACAGAATAGCATTCCAACTTAAAAAATCTATAATTCACTTAACTATTCTTACTAAGATTCAAAAATCCAGTTCTTTAACTAAAAAAATTAGAAATGAAAAATTTTATAGTGTTTGTGAGCAATTTAATATTGACTATTTTTAAAAATTTGTGTCATGCCAAGTAGGTAAGAGTATTTTATTTTGGTTAACTGTACTGTGTTGAATAGTGCCCCGGAAGTTCGTGTCCACCTGTAACTTGTAAATGTGACCTTATTTGGAAATAGGGCCTGTATAGATGTTATCAAGTTAGGATGAGGTCATATTGGAATAGGGTAAGCTCTGAATCCAATAAGAAGAGGGAAATTTGACTACAAAGACACAGACACACAAAGGAGAAGGCCACAGGAAAACAGAAGTAGAGATTGGAGTTGCACATCTGAAAAGCCAAAGAATGCCAAGATTGCCATCAACCACTAGAAGCTAGAAAAGGTAAGGAAGGATTCTTCTCCAGACCCTTTGGAGGGAGCATGACCCTGCAGAGACCTTGTTCTTCAACTTCCAACTTCCAGAACTGTGAGACAAAAAAACTGTGTTTTAGCCACCCAGTTTTGGTACTTTGTGTGGCAGCCCTAGTAAACTGCTGTTCTGAGACCCAATTCCAACACTGTGGGAGGGATCCCACACACACGACACCGAGCAATATGTGGACACCATCAGGGTGTCCAAGGATTCAGTTCAACTCAATTCTGAAACCATGTACGTAGAAGGTGAAGGTGAAGGTGCAATCTAGAAGACTGCCTGCCCCACCTCCCACTTCAGACACCAGTCACAAGCCCCAGGCTGTCACCTGTGCTTCTGATCAATAGTTTCAGATTGAAGGCTCCAATGACCTCCTCTTTAGGTTTGATTAGTTTGCTAGAGCAATTCACAGAACTCAGGGAAACACCTACTTACGTTTGCCAGCTTACTAAAGGATATGATAAAGGATACAAATCAATACCCAGATGAAGAGACACATAGGGCAATGTCCCAAACAAAGGAGCTTCTGTCCTTGCAAAAGCTTGGAGCCAGGTTCAATGGCACATGAAAGAATTCTGGTTCCCCATGCACGCAAGCTCTCCAAAAAGAGAAAGGATCCAAACACTGACCTCTTGGGTTCTTATGGAGGCTTCATATCTCAGTAATGATAAACTAAGTCATTGGCCACTGGCTGATTCAACCTTCAGCTCCTGTTACCTCCCTGGAGATTGCTGGGTAGGACTAAAAGTTCAAACCCTATAAAATCACATGGTTGGTTCTCCTAGCAACCAGACCCTGCTTTTGGGTGGGGTACAAAAGGTACCTAATTAATTATAAGACACCCATTTCACCTTTATGATTCTACAGCATTTTCAGCAACTGTGGATAAAGACCAAATATATCTGAGAAATGTATTTTGGTCATCTGAATGACCAAATATTTATCTCGTGTAAGTCATTACGTTGAAGCTAATACAGAAATTATATTTTCTGAGAAATTTGGCAACCCCACCTTTACAATGCCTCCCAGTTAGCTGCTGAGCTGACAACCCGCCAACATGCACACATAGACCCCACTGGCTGGTCATGATTGGCACCAGTTCCAACTGGTTGGACCCAACTCATTCTGATTGGCTGATGACACCACCAAAGGTTGTGCCTTACCCGTAAAGTAAGTAAGCCTGTAAAGTAAGCTACCAGGTTATCTAATACCATCACCTTTTACTATTTCATAAAGGTCATGCCTTTGATAGATGGAATTATTGTTTTACATTGCAGCTCTGCACCATCCAATCACAAAGCATCCCCCTGTGGATGTCTACCACGGAGATATTTGGAGAGACTATATAAGGGAATGTTGTCTTCAATTCAGAAAGATGTATACAGTGACTATAGTTGTTGCTTTTCACATCAAGTATCCATTCCCCCTTCTTGTGGAAGAGTAGCCAGTTTTCCTGCAAGAGGCACTCCCTTCTATCCTGTCAGAATGGACATGGCCTCCCAGCTCTAGACTCTGATATGCCCAATCAGGGCATCTGTCCTGCTAGCCTCAGAGACATAGGAGGCAAATAATCCAATCAGAACAAATGAGATGTAATTCAGGACTTTGGTTAGGTGAGGAGAGAAGCTGTTCTCTTTTCTACTGGATTTGAACAAGATTTAACCCTGAAGTGTTGACAGTAATTACATGGACCCCAAGAATGAAACCAGTGGAGAAGAAAGCAAAGCCACAACCAGATTACACTATTTACACCAACTATGCCTAATGCTAGTTCTACCCTCAAATTTTTCAGTTACATGGCCCCAGGAAGTGCCTTCTTGGTTTCACCCAATTTGGGTTGGGTTTTCTGTCACTTGCAACTGAAATAAGCTTTCTAGAAAATGACTTATATTGTGTTTATTAGTTTAAAACTTGATTTTCTACTAATTATCACTCTCATTATGATATATAATCAATAGTCGATTATGTAAAAGATTTATGAAATACAGTAAAACCATAAAGGTTTATGAAAAAGTACTGGCAGTCTGCAAATTAAAAATAATCTAGCAATAGGAAAAAAAACTCATAGGATATTCAGAAAACAGAGCTAAACTGTGTGTACTGAATATAATTTATCAAATGAGAGTAACTGTCCTATTTTATATTTTTCTATACCTGAGCACTTGGGCATATAACTTTTTCTTATGGGAAGTTACAATTTAGTAAAACTCTAATTATAATAGAAAATACATCTTTGTATCAAAAGTGGTGAGTCAAAAATTCCTTTGCACCTATATTATAAAACCTACATAAATTATCTGGTCTCTTTTCCAATGAGTTAAGATAGAGAAATGTGTCATTTTCAATAATACTTATAATGTAAGGAATTTTTATTCCTATTTTGGAAAATTTGTAATACTACTTTTTAGTGTCTACAGGGAGATGCCTCAGCCTATAATTTGGTCACGTTGATTTGCTTTTCAGTATCCATCTCTTAACAGTCAATATTAGCCCTGAAAAAGTCAATCTATAAAAATCAGAGTTTATAGCATTCCTGTTTCCCTTCAAACATTTACTTTCATAGATGTAGGCCTTTCTCCTACACTGTTTTAATTTAAGGCAGAAAACTATGTTTTGTTCTTCACTGTTGAAAATGGCTTGTATAGAGATAAGCAGACATGAAAGTGTGAGAAGCTCCCCCCAAGCCAGCACTACTGTCCCCACTAAGCAAATGATAACTAACTCAAATCCCCCCAACTGTTCCAGTGGATACTCTACTCTTGCTTCCCTGCATTCTGCCTGTATTTATGATAGCTTACAATTTAACACTACATCTTCTTTATTTTTTTAACATGTGTTAGTTTTATTTCATATGGAGGCTTCATATCTCAGTAATGATAAACTAAGTCATTGGCCACTGGCTGATTCAACCTTCAGCTCCTGTTACCTCCCTGGAGATTGCTGGGTAGGACTAAAAGTTCAAACCCTATAAAATCACATGGTTGGTTCTCCTAGCAACCAGACCCTGCTTTTGGGTGGGGTACAAAAGGTACCTAATTAATTATAAGACACCCATTTCACCTTTATGATTCTACAGCATTTTCAGCAACTGTGGATAAAGACCAAATATATCTGAGAAATGTATTTTGGTCATCTGAATGACCAAATATTTATCTCGTGTAAGTCATTACGTTGAAGCTAATACAGAAATTATATTTTCTGAGAAATTTGGCAACCCCACCTTTACAATGCCTCCCAGTTAGCTGCTGAGCTGACAACCCGCCAACATGCACACATAGACCCCACTGGCTGGTCATGATTGGCACCAGTTCCAACTGGTTGGACCCAACTCATTCTGATTGGCTGATGACACCACCAAAGGTTGTGCCTTACCCGTAAAGTAAGTAAGCCTGTAAAGTAAGCTACCAGGTTATCTAATACCATCACCTTTTACTATTTCATAAAGGTCATGCCTTTGATAGATGGAATTATTGTTTTACATTGCAGCTCTGCACCATCCAATCACAAAGCATCCCCCTGTGGATGTCTACCACGGAGATATTTGGAGAGACTATATAAGGGAATGTTGTCTTCAATTCAGAAAGATGTATACAGTGACTATAGTTGTTGCTTTTCACATCAAGTATCCATTCCCCCTTCTTGTGGAAGAGTAGCCAGTTTTCCTGCAAGAGGCACTCCCTTCTATCCTGTCAGAATGGACATGGCCTCCCAGCTCTAGACTCTGATATGCCCAATCAGGGCATCTGTCCTGCTAGCCTCAGAGACATAGGAGGCAAATAATCCAATCAGAACAAATGAGATGTAATTCAGGACTTTGGTTAGGTGAGGAGAGAAGCTGTTCTCTTTTCTACTGGATTTGAACAAGATTTAACCCTGAAGTGTTGACAGTAATTACATGGACCCCAAGAATGAAACCAGTGGAGAAGAAAGCAAAGCCACAACCAGATTACACTATTTACACCAACTATGCCTAATGCTAGTTCTACCCTCAAATTTTTCAGTTACATGGCCCCAGGAAGTGCCTTCTTGGTTTCACCCAATTTGGGTTGGGTTTTCTGTCACTTGCAACTGAAATAAGCTTTCTAGAAAATGACTTATATTGTGTTTATTAGTTTAAAACTTGATTTTCTACTAATTATCACTCTCATTATGATATATAATCAATAGTCGATTATGTAAAAGATTTATGAAATACAGTAAAACCATAAAGGTTTATGAAAAAGTACTGGCAGTCTGCAAATTAAAAATAATCTAGCAATAGGAAAAAAAACTCATAGGATATTCAGAAAACAGAGCTAAACTGTGTGTACTGAATATAATTTATCAAATGAGAGTAACTGTCCTATTTTATATTTTTCTATACCTGAGCACTTGGGCATATAACTTTTTCTTATGGGAAGTTACAATTTAGTAAAACTCTAATTATAATAGAAAATACATCTTTGTATCAAAAGTGGTGAGTCAAAAATTCCTTTGCACCTATATTATAAAACCTACATAAATTATCTGGTCTCTTTTCCAATGAGTTAAGATAGAGAAATGTGTCATTTTCAATAATACTTATAATGTAAGGAATTTTTATTCCTATTTTGGAAAATTTGTAATACTACTTTTTAGTGTCTACAGGGAGATGCCTCAGCCTATAATTTGGTCACGTTGATTTGCTTTTCAGTATCCATCTCTTAACAGTCAATATTAGCCCTGAAAAAGTCAATCTATAAAAATCAGAGTTTATAGCATTCCTGTTTCCCTTCAAACATTTACTTTCATAGATGTAGGCCTTTCTCCTACACTGTTTTAATTTAAGGCAGAAAACTATGTTTTGTTCTTCACTGTTGAAAATGGCTTGTATAGAGATAAGCAGACATGAAAGTGTGAGAAGCTCCCCCCAAGCCAGCACTACCGTCCCCACTAAGCAAATGATAACTAACTCAAATCCCCCCAACTGTTCCAGTGGATACTCTACTCTTGCTTCCCTGCATTCTGCCTGTATTTATGATAGCTTACAATTTAACACTACATCTTCTTTATTTTTTTAACATGTGTTAGTTTTATTTCCCCCAACTGATCCTAAATGTAGGGCCTAGGTCCAAGCCCCTGGGGAAGAAATGCCTGGTAAGCAAAGTCAGGGTCCTAACTACAGAGCCCAGGCTGTGGTTCCACATAAAAAGCTGATTCCCATGGAGGCTGAAATCATCCTGGACCAGCACGGGAGAAGGCAGAAACAACGGGAGGGAACCTTACAATTTATCCAGTTCAACCTTCTTGTTTTAGAGATAAGAGGGTAAAGGACTGAAGTACTTTCAAGAGACTTGTCTTACAGCTAATTAGGGGCAGAGCTGGTAGTGGAAAGCAGACCTTTTGCAGTGTTCTTTTTACCACACTAAGCAAATTCTGCTAGAGAGCAGGATCAAGGCAGAAATGTGCTTGCTGACTTTCATGGAGTGTAAGCCAGCCCTTTGCTCACTGAGTAACAAGCTCAAACCACTCAAGTGTGGTCTGGGGACCAGCAAGCCTCAGCGCCACTTGGGAGCTTGTTAGACATGCAGAATCTACCCTACTCCACCCCACCCAGGTCCCCGAATCAGGATCTATATTTAACAGGCTCCCAGGTGATTCATGTGCACACACAGAAGCACTGAGGCAGCAGGCCCTGCTATCCCTGACTCAAAGGGACCGTAAACTGACTGCATTAACCAGTGGTTCTCAACCCTAGCTGTACCTTGGAATCACCTGGCAAGTTTTCAAAATGCTGTTGCTGGGATCTCCCCTCAGACCAGTGAAGTTAGAATCTTTCTGTAGACACCCGAGCAGCAGTCAGGGTTGAGAACTACTGTACTAAATTCACTGCATCCCCCTTTTGAGCTCTGAGAATAGAGTCAACCGAGTAATCTGCAGCTGCCTCAGGAGAAAAGGCCACAAACAACTCCCAGTCTCCAGGGATACCATGCTTACTCGGAGCTATCCATCTGCTAAACTTGCTTCTGCGGATGCTCATCTTGGAACTGACTCAGCCAAGACTGCTTTTTAAATGGTCTTTACTTACCTCAAACTTTAATTAACCACCTCAAACCTTAATTTCTGGTAACTTGCCCAGCTTTGACTTGGTCCTCTATAATTGCTCTTAATTTTGTAACAAAACTGTCACTGTCCCATGTCCAACTACACTTGAGCCATCAGGATTCCTTGCTGCCCATTTGCCACAAAGCAAGTTGCTTTACTCTGTCACTGTAGAAGATCTAATAGGAAATGTCCAGGTGCTATATCCCAGACACCATTCATAAAAAACAGAATGCTTCCTCAGAGTCAAAGCTTTTCAACTCATCAACATAGAATGCCCTTCACCATACACCAAAATACGGAACAAAGACTTAAATGAAAAAGACAATACCACAGATGTGTTAGATGAAAGCACTGGAGAATATATATACACATATATGCATATATATATATATATATATATATGTAATACACATATATACACACATACATATATAGTTTTTGAAAGATATTTAAAAAGTAAATAAAAACTCCAGGCATAATAAAATATTGGTAATTCTACATGGAAAAAGTTCTTCAGAACATAAAGTCACAAGAAAAACATCAAAATGCAAAAAAAAGATTTATAGCTCATATCACAGAAAAGAACTTTGTCAATATATAAGCAGTTTTAATTTCCTCAACATATTAATAGTTCCAATAAGCTAATAAGAAAAGACCAACAGCCCAATAGGAAAATGAGTAAAAAGCTATAAACAGATCGTTCACTATAAAGGAAGTGCATGTGGATGTTAGTCATATAAAAAATATGTTCAATGTTACCCATAAGGGAAATGCAAATTAAAACTATGTGATGTCTTATTTTACCTATCAGATTGGCAAAGATCAAAAAGCAAGATATATACTGTGTTGATAAAGATGTGAATAGAAGAGGCAGGCTCTCTCAAACATTGCCAAGGGCAGAGTAGCTGAAATTAGGTATAATTTCCTGGAGAGTGAGTTGGCAATAACTATCCAAAACCTAGAAATACAACTTACAGGAGCTTATCTTACAGATATATAGTTGTATGCTAGGAAATAAAATTCATTCAATGATAATGTATTAAAGTACTGTTTTAACAGCACAATATTAACAATAACTAAATGCCTATCAGTAAGGATTGGTTACATAAATTATGGTATATCCAAATGATGGAATGTTATGCAGCCATAAAAAATAATTAAGTTCTATAAGTATTGATATGGAATAATAACCAAGATAGATAAAGTTTTAAAAAATGTGCAAAACAGTGTATAGATAGATGGGTATATAATATGCAGCCATTTGTTTAAATATAAATACATATGTTTGTGTATGTACTGAATATATATGGAAGGACACCCTAGACACTGATATGGGTGGTGATCTCTGAGGGTTTGGGTGACAAAGGTAAGAGGGCTAGTAAGGTAGCTTGCTTTTTTAGTATACAAACCCTTTTGTGCCTATAAATAAATAACACTTCATGTTAAACGATTACTTCACTGACTGACCTTAGAATATACGTCTCCAAGCGATCACATTGCTGCAATAGATTCCCATCTCAAACTTCTTGGGAGAAAATATCCTGGAGGCCTTACAGAACCCTAGAGAGAGACAACCAAGTATTCTAGTGTGTACTGACTGCATAATGGATTGAAATCTAAGGATTTCCTAACAGCGCTTTCTTACAAACTGTCATGAGCTATACACCCAGAGAGCTATGTTATGCCTGTTGGAATCCAGCTACCCAAATAACTACAGGGCTTCTGTTGCTGAATTCATTAAGTTTTTAATGATCTTCTCTAGAAAAACACTCATATCTAAAAAAAACTGGGTTTAAATAAGGGCCTCAACTCTACTATGGAATAAAGTATTGCACAGAGGACTTAAATGCAGGTTAACTGCCCAGAACAATCAGCTGCAGGGAGGGGTTGGCAAGCTCGTTAGGGAGGAAATAAAACAAGCAGAAGCTTCTAGGTCACTGCTGGTACTGCTTGTACAACAGGATCTTCAGGGTCAGGGGAACCCTGAGGAACAGCAAAACCTAGGCCACACATCTCAAGTGATCGTTCTTCCCCTCTGCAAGAAATCAAATCAATCCTACCACTTGCTGCCCAAAATTGATCAATCTTGAGGACAAAAAGAAGAAAGCAAAAACTGCTGCTGAAAAGCAAAGCTTACACTGGGTTGGTCAGATATTAAACTAGTGTCTGTCCTTTTTTTGTTTAAGACAAAGTTATATGGTGTAGGAAAGTAAGTGTTAAGAATTTAGACATCCTGCTGAACATACTTCTGAGCATATTCATGTGTCTCCTCCTCACCACCCCACATACCCACCCAATCTCACTAACTCTGGTTTCAATGTATGATACTATTATGACTTCCAAATGCATATGTGGATCCCAGCTATGACCAACTCTGATGCCTCTGAGTCAATATCAAGTGTGACCAGATCCAGTCAAAGTAATTCATGGGTAACTGCAGGCCTTTGACTCACTTGGGCAAAAATTCAAAAGAACAAAAACTCAAAGGGTTTGTACACTAAAAAAGCAAGAAATCAAAAATCCAAAAATGAAAATAAGGATATAACATATTTTGCCTTTGCAAAAAAACCTTTGTACATCTTTAATTTTCTCTGGTCTTGTGGCATTTTGGAGCTTATTAAGCACAACACGGCCATTAATTTAATAGTATGCCTATACTTCAGAACTTTCCAGGGGAGAGGGTTGGAGAAACACCTCAAAAAAATAAGTTCTAGCTGAGGAAGCTGGCGCTCTCCTTCTTGGAAAGAATGAAATATTCTGGATGTGTCTCATCCAATAGAGGCTGAAACTCCCTTGCTTTACCATATGCATAACATAACCTATGAGTATTGCTTTTCTCTGCATGACCTAATGTGTGAATGCCTAATCAACTAATTTGTTCACTGGCTGAGAGTTAGACCACACAAAAATACTGTGACCATTGGTCACTGATTAGAGGTACTCTGGCTCTTGTCAGCTTAAAAGAGCTTTCTTAGCATGGTCATGGCATAAAACTAAAAAGGAATCTGTAAGAATTTGACTTGAAATATTCTCTCCCACAGCTGCAGGGTGTCAAAGGGTTATACTGCCTTCTATCACAATACTTAGTTCAGCAGTGAATCTTGTTTACATTAGCATACTCATTACATACTTTCATTAGGTTGAAATTTCTAGTTAACTATAGATAAAATACAGAGAACTAATTATAGTTATCAAGCAGAATCTAAATATTATAAATCTTGATGATGCAAAAATAATAATATAATATAAAAATTGGAAGAAGAAGAAGGAATGTGGGAGATACTATACATCACTAAATTCCTCATTTATCATAGCAGGAATGAACAGTTATTGTCCAAATAGTAGAAATCATCTTTGTAGATACATACTGTTTAACAGAAGTATATTGTTTAAAGTTACAGGGTTAACTATGAGAATAACTAAGAAGTTGTTCTTCATCAATAGGGGTTCCATTAAACAAATTTAAATGATCCATACAATGGAATACTATGGAGCTATCAGAAATAATGAAATATTTCTGTATACACTCACAAAGAATGATGTCCATGATGCAATGTTAAGTGGAAAATTTAAATTACAAAAATTAAATAACAAAACAGTGATCCCATTTATGTAAATACATTAAAACTGTGCATATATATATATTTACATGTGCATAGAAAACTACAGAACTGAGTCAGAAGAGAGGGAAGGAAATACTTGCATCTATATATTATATATCTATGCATTATTAGAATTTTTACAATGGTCATGTATTGTTTTTCTTTGTAAAAATTAAAGTAAAATAAAAATCCAGCCTGTGAAAGAAAAAGCAGTACTACACTAAGGAGACTAAGTTATGAAAGGTCATTAAAGATCTTCCACTCTCTGCAATCAATATTATTCTAAAAATCATAAAATGTTCTTGCATACAACATTAACTTTTGTCTTTATTTTCTCTCCTTTGAAAACTAACCCTATAGTTGCTAAACTAAAACAAAGCCAATACTTCTTTCCTAAGCCACTACCTAATTATAGCATACGTTCACTTCATTTTTCAAGTGGACATTGTTTTATGCTAGTTAGGGCCCTCAGTTTTCAAATCCATTCAATAAAGACATGCTGAGAACCCCAGCACTGTGCTCATTTGTCTACAATTTTTTTTACAATCCTCCTGCTCTTTTCCCTGGCAGGACTCTCAGACCTACCAAGTCCCCCTTCATTTCACCTCCAGCTCCTTCTCAACTTCCTAGATGAAGTAGAACACACCGTCTCCCCTTCCCCAATTGCAGGCCAAAGTGCAGCAAGAGCAATGGTCCCAGGGAAAAAGGAGAAGAAAATCATATGCTCAGTGGAATAAGCCAGGCAAAGACAAATACTGTATGATTTCACTTTTTTGTGGAATATAAAAACAAAGCAAAACAGAAGGAGCAAAATAGCAGTAGAGTCATAGACACTGAGAAGTGACCAGTGGTTACCAAGGAGGAGGCGTTAGGACCAATGAAGGGAGTGGGGGGGATTAAACAACACGATAATTCGCTATCACAGCGTAAATTGATCATGCGGACTGTTGAACCACTGTGATGTACATTTGAAACCAACATAAGATTGTATGTTAATGACACTTTAATAAAAAAAAAAAAATCAGTCACTAGTCAGGCCAGAAAAGTAGGCTACAAGACCAATTTGTGACCTTATTTGATGGAGGGAAGGGAGCACACATGCATATGTGTTTACATGTACTTACACAGCCTGCTTATTCACACAAAGAACGGTTACAATCTACATGACGCTAATCCCTTATGTTTCTTAGACCCAAAGAGCCAAAAATAAGTTTAAATCACTTTGTTTTCCTTATTAATGCTTTCAACAGCTATCTCTACAATGTTACATTTCACTATTAAGCATTTTGTGGAATTTCATTCTTTTCTCTCTTTTGCTTTTTAATAATGTTTTGTTTTTAATATTTCTAATGTTCCCATTTTGAGTTTTCAATCTCTAGTGCACAGACGTGGGACCTCTATGTGTGCCCTCATACTTTTTATTGTATTAAACAATTTAGTTTTGCCTCCCAGAGCATTCCTGCTTATTTGTGCCTTAGGAATGGCCAATGGATGATATAACTGATCAGAGGGAATGTGGGGGCGGAGTGGAGGGACCCTACTGTAGACAATTTTTTTCTGTTTCTACCTCCAATTTAAGTTTGTAGATATTTTACCATATTTTTTGCTTTCGTTGAAATGTTCTCAAAGGTTTATCACTGCTTTTCCAATATTGTAGATAAAATAAGAAAGAAAACAGAAATGACCCAAGTTCTGATCTTCCTCATTTTGATTTCTGGATTTAAACTTACTCTAGCTTTATAAATAATTTATCCTTGTAACTATCTAAGAAACTTTTTCAAGAGAATTAAGAGTATTAATTTTGTACTTAAAGTAAATTGAAAGAAATTTGATAGAGTGACAAAATGAACAAGATAGCAAGTTGTGGCTTTGATTTCAAAGCACTATCCTTGCAAAGCAGTAAAATAACTTAATAACTTTCCTACTTTTTCATGAAATGAAGAGTGCCTGAGCTTAAGCATTTGTACTGTACTCAGAGAAGGAGGCTGGAAGGATGGGAAGAAAGAAAGGAAAGGTGAGAAAAGCCTTTCCGCATGGATGCCACACAGAGGATCACAAAATGGGTGGCTTAAAGAAATGGATTCTCTCAACAGTTCTAGATCTGGAGGCTAGAAGTCTGAAATCAAGGTACTGGCAAGGCCATGCTCTTCTCTTCAGGCTTTCAGGGAGAACCTTTCTTGCCTCTTCTTAGGTTCTGATTGTTGCCAGCTTGTAAACACATCACTCCAATCTCTGCCTCTGTCTTCATTTGGCCCTCTTCCCTGTGTGTCTATTTCTGTGTCCAAATTTCCCTCTTCTTAAATGAACACCAATCATACTACATTTAGGACACACTCTAATCCAGTTTGGCCTTATTTTAACTTGATTACATCTGCAAAGACCGTATTTCCAAATGAAGTCACATTTACAGATTCTGGGCAAACATGAATTTGGGGGGATTCTATTCAACCCAGTACAGGTGGAGAGGCATGAAAAGGTAGGAGAAAGGTGGTCCCACACCTCCAGCACCCAGCACAGAGGCACCATGCCTGGCAGAAAGGCTAATTAAGACAATCAATGGCCATTCCTTCAGAGCTGTTTCAGCCTGCAGGCGCTATGCTAGATTCTCACAGCTGTTGCTGAAAACCAAAAGGGTTTTGACCAATAAAGGGAATGAAGTTACTGACAGCTTTTAGACAAGGCTGTGTGGTAGTACAATCACTGCGTTTTATCCATGGGGCCTGGATAACATGAGATTGAATACTTAATGGGAGTCATTCTACTTGCCAAAAAAGAGCATTCAATATCCACTACCTGGATCAATATACCAGAAACATGGCAAACACAGTCGGCAGAGAACATGGAAGAGGAGGGAGATATGGAGGATGTTATCCACTCAGCCTTTTTTATTAATGTAACAAAAATTTCTTGCCCTATTTCCCAGAATGAGTCATAACTGCTCTGCCCTCATCATCATTT